TGCACAGGGTATTTATTGTGAAGAGCGTTCCTCACCTAAAGTCAGTGGAGTTCATTGAAGATCTAGAAGTGTATCTGAAAGAGAATATCACTTACCACGAAGTCTTTCTCCGGCTAGATCTCATGATGCAGTGCAAGCGTCGCTTTGGGCCCAAGTAAGTGATAATCAAGTAATAAAAAATAAAATTGGAACAGATCGTGCTCGTTATGATGAGAGTGAGATGCTAATGAGTTAATTGTAAGTAGTGATTAAATATTCGAGTTGATTGCGATCAACAAATAAAATTTAAGGGAGGCTTAAGAGGCCTTACCAATGTAACCCCCGAAACACAAGGCACTCTTTAGAACTTTATTTTATAACTATTTCACATAATAATTAATTAAAATAGCTAATTAATAATTAAAATTTTTTACTGGATTATTGGCTGTTTGCCGATGATCAAAAAATAAATAACAAGAAATGAAGCAAACTTCGGCAAGCAGAAGTTCATATACCCTTGCAACTATTGCATAAACTAAATATTCTTGAAAACATTTAAATTATGATTAACTTGCGTATATGCTTAAAAACATTGAAGCTATGATGATTTGCAGCTCAATTATTCGAGAGTTCCTATGGCAGCTTTATGATATCGTTTTCCGATTTTGAAAAAATTAAAAGCGTAATTCTGAACTGTAACATTATTAATTAATCATAAAGAATTTCTAAAAAAAAAAAATTTCAAAATAAAAAAGTTAAATTAAAAAAAAATTTTTTTTTAAATATTTTTTTTTGTTCTAATGGGAGCTATAAGTTATAGAACTCGAAGAACTAAAAAAAATATTTAAAAACACCAAAGTTATAATAGTTTTTATTTATTTTTCCGACTGTTCCTATGGGAGCTATATGTCTTCCTATTTTTATGAAATTTAAACCGTAATTCTGAAATATTTAACCATTACTATATCTCGGAGAACTAAAAAAAATTATTTAATTATTTTTCCGATTTTTCCTATGGGAGCTTAATGCTATAGTCGCCCGATCCGTCACGTTTCGACTTATGTACTACCAGGAATAGAAAGACAACTTTTGCCAAAGTTTCATGCAACTGAGAGACTAGTTTGCGTAGAAACGGACGGACAGACGGACATGGCTAGATCGACTCTCCTAGTGATGCTGATCAAGAACATATACACTTTATAGGGTCGGAAATGTCTCCTTCATTGCTTTGCACTGTTTGCACTGGTACATAAATTTATATTTATGAATCCATTTTTATACAATCTGTTATTAATCAGCGAGTGTAGAGACGATTGTCTACCGATTAAGCCGAAGGCATACAAAAAATACCGTACGAAAAACCAATCATGGAAATCAAAATATTTCTTCACAAACAGTCTTGTATGGTTTGATCGTTTGATGCCAAACAAAGCAATTGAACTATACCAGGTGTACCAATGATCGAGTGAACCCGAAAATGTATAACTCGTTGCAGATTTCTGGTATGGATGGAGCGGGAATGTGTTGGATAAACTTCAGCACAGCCCACTAAACTCATAAAAATTACGTTTTTGTTTCAAAATTTTTTTCCCAAAATATTAACAAATTAAAAATCAAGAAAATAAGCTAACTTCTTTTATAGTCGAAACGAGCTGGATTTGAGGAATATAGCATATAGTTCCCATAGAAACAATCAAAATACAAAAATTATAACTTTTCAGTTTTTTATTTTTTTTTTAATTTTTGAGATATTGTAATGGTATATAACCTCAGAATTAAGCTTATAACTTTATGAAAATCAGAAATCGATATCATATAGCTGCCATAGGAACGATCGAATAATTTAACTGAAAATTAGCTTCAATGATTGTAAACTTATTAGCATATTAATCAAAATTTAGATGTTTTAAAAATTTAAATATTTTTTTAACTTTGCAGAAGTTGCAACAGTAAGTTAAGCTTGCCTAAAAATTTGGTATCAGAAATTTTGTATGTTGAAATTACGATTGTGACGACTTTTTTAATTCGTTAAGAGGTTAAAACATTTAATTAGATTTTATACTGTGTGTGTGTTTTCATCATATCTATCGATAAACACAACAATTTTCAAAATATAACTATTATTTTATAAGCTAATAAGTCCTCTGTCGTCCCTCTGTCGCCGTTCTGCGGACTCTCTGCCGATTTTCTGACGGTGCTCGGTCGGTGCTCGGTCGCTGTTCGGCCGCTGCTTGCGAGACACAAAACGGAAGAATTTTAAGCGGGAGTGCTGCACGCACTTAGCTTTTTTTGGTGGTTTTGCAGCTCGTCAGATTGTTCTGTGGGATTATATTTAGATTGAAATTTGTTATTATTGGAAAAGTTTTAGGCAGAGATCTTAAAAACTGAGAGACAAGTTTGCCAAGATATGGATGGACAAACAGTAGGACTTAGCTTAAAGAATTTGTATTCTTTATGGGGTCGGCAATGATTCCTTCTGACTGATTAAAGAGTAAGTTGTCTGGCTCCCAATTGAACATTAAAATCTTCAAAGCTCCGTTGATTTTAAGATATTTGCTTACATCTTGCTTGCTTATATGCATAGTACCTGACTTCATATAATTATTTATATAATTAATAGTTTTAAAATGTAATTTGTACTATCTTAAAAATATTTAATAAACAAGTTTTTCCCTTTCACTTAAACGCTTTTTTTTAATATTATTTTCACCAAATTGGTGTTGCATACTTTTAAAAGAAAATGCATGCCTGCTTGCTGCTCTAAACTAATAAAAGTTGGCGATTATCGACTAAGAGGGTCTTCTACTCTCGAGGCGAGAGACTTTAATTTTTTTAAAGCCACAAACAAATATTTTTTATTTTGAAAATATTCACCACCACATTCTGACATAACACAAAACACACAAATACTAAACAAATTTTTTATTCTGAGTGTATCGTAATTAAATAATTAACTTTAAATTGGCACATGCAAATTTGAAATAATATAATTAGCTGTCAATCGAACTAAATATATTAAAAAAAAAACAAGAAAGAAAGCAAACTTCGGCAAGCCGAAGTTCATATACCCTTGCAGCTATTGCATGAATTAAATACTTTTGAAAACATTTAAATTATGATTTACTTGAGTATATGCTGAAAAACATTGAAACTATGATGATTTGCAGCTCAATTATTAGATAGTTATTTTATATATTTTTATTATTTCTATGGGAGCTATATGCTATAGACGTCCGATTTTGATAAAATTTAAAACATAATTCTGAAATAATTAAACATTGCTATATGTCGAAGAACTAAAAAAAAAATTAAAAAACAGAAAAGTTATAATTTTTTTTCATTTATTTTTCCGATTGTTCCTATGGGAGCTATATGCTATAGTCGTCCGATTTTGATGAAATTTTAATCATAATTCTGAAATATTTAACCATTACTATATCTCGAAGAACTAAACAAAAAATTAAAAAACAGCAAAGTTATAATTTTTTTTCATTTATTTTTCCGATTGTTCCTATGGGAGCTATATGCTATAGTCGACCGATTTTGATGAAATTTAAAACGTAAATCGGAAATAGTTAACCATTACTATATGTCGAAGAACTAAACAAAAAATTAAAAAACAGCAAAGTTATAATTTTTTTTCAATTATTTTTCCGATTGTTCCTATGGGAGCTATATGCTATAGTCGTCCGATCCGGCTCGTTCCGACTTATATACTACCTGCAATAGAAAGACAACTTTTGGGAAAGTTTCATGCAGATAGCTTTAAAACTGAGAGACTAGTTTGCATATAAACGGACGGACAGACGGACAGACGGACGGACAGACGGACAGACGGACGGACAGACGGACATGGCTAGATCGACTCTACTAGTGATGCTGATCAAGAATATATATACTTTATAGGGTCGGAAACGTCTCCTTCACTGCGTTGCAAACTTCTGACTGAAATTATAATACCCTCTGCAAGGGTATAATGAGTCAAACACGCAGACTGTAGATAGCAAATACTAATACAGGAAATATACAGTTAAAGAATTACTAGCTTAAAACGCCTTAAAAGGTCGACGTCTCCGTGAGATGCGTGCTTAAATTAAATTATTAGTCAACTCGTTGTCGTCCATTAAAAAGTATATACACACATAATGTTAATAATAGTAGACAGTTGGATATCCATAGCCATATTATTATACCCTTGCAGAGGGTATTATAATTTCAGTCAGAAGTTTGCAACGCAGTGAAGGAGACGTTTCCGACCCTATAAAGTATATATATTCTTGATCAGCATCACTAGTAGAGTCGATCTAGCCATGTCCGTCTGTCCGTCTGTCCGTCCGTCTGTCCGTCCGTCTGTCCGTCTGTCCGTCTGTCCGTCTGTCCGTCCGTTTATATGCAAACTAGTCTCTCAGTTTTAAAGCTATCTGCATGAAACTTTCCCAAAAGTTGTCTTTCTATTGCAGGTAGTATATAAGTCGGAACGAGCCGGATCGGACGACTATAGCATATAGCTCCCATAGGAACAATCGGAGAAATAAATGAAAAAAATTATAACTTTTCTGTTTTTTAATTTTTTGTTTAGTTCTTCCACATATAGCAATGGTTATATATTTCAGAATTATGGTTTAAATTTCATCAAAATCGGACGACTATAGCATATAGCTCCCATAGGAACAATCGGAAAAATAAATGAAAAAAAATTATAACTTTTCTGTTTTTTAATTTTTTGTTCAGTTCTTCGACATTTAGTAATGGTTAAATATTTTCGATTTACGGTTTAAATTTCATCAAAATCGGACGACTATATCATATAGCTCCCATACAAATAATAAAAATATATAAAAGAACAATCAAATAATTAAGCTGCAAATCGTCATAGCTTCAATGTTTTTAAACATATACGCAAGTAAATCATAATTTTAATTAATTTTAATTCTTGCGATAGCTGCAAGGGTATATGAACTTCGGCTTGCCGAAGTTTGCTTTCTTTCTTGTTAAAATTAATTACGCTGCTTGAACTTAGTTAGGAAGTTTATATCCAGCACCTTGGTTACACCTATAAAACGAGCACAGTTCCCTTGATACTTTTCAGATGATAGCAAAATGTGTAGCATTGTGTTCGATGCAGAGGTGGTTTCTCCACCCAGTCACCTGAATGTGGCCTTTTTCGAGGATGTGCTTGAGACAGCCCTTCGAACTACAAGAGTGCAAGTGCTGACCATTCATATTCGAATGGGCAGCAGCACTGGGGAAAACTACTGCAGTCGGATCTACCGAGCTAACGTCTCGTTCAAACGTCCCGATCATCCGGAGCAGCACATGGTATTTATTGTGAAGAGTGTTCCTCACCTAAATTCAGTGGAATTCATTGAAGATCTAGAAGTGTATCTGAAAGAAAAGATCACTTACCACGAAGTTCTTCCCCGGCTAGAGATCATGATGCAGTGCAAGCGTCGCTTTGGACCCAAGTAAGTGACAATCAAGTAATAAAAAATAAAATGAAAAATGTCGCTCAATGACTGGTTGCGGTTTGAGGCTACATTTTGTTAATTAATTTCATTTCCCTTTTAATTATTAACCTTATAATTGTCTTTCGATGTGCTGAGCCTTAAATCTTACATTAAAATATTTTTAACGCTTACGATTATATTATATTTTTTGGTATGGATCAGAGATCTGCAACGAGTATGATTGAGACAACACGATCAGCATCCCAAAAACTTGATCAGTTCCACTCATCTCACTCCGCAGAATAATCATGCTCGTAGTCTAACTCGCAATCATTTCGAACAGATCGTGCTCGTTATGATTGAGAGTGAGATGCTAATGAAGTTAATTGTAAGTAGTGATTAAATACTCGAGTTGATTGCGATCAACAAATAAAATTTAAGGAAGGCCTAAGAGGCCTTACCAGTGTAACCCCCGAAACACATGGCACTCTTTAGAACTTTTTTCTGAAGGAAGTACTAGATAAAATGTTTTAAAACTTATTGCACATAATAATTAATTAACATAGCTAATTAATAATTAAGAATTATTTACTGGATTATTGGCTGTCTGCCGATGATCAAAAAAAAAAAAACAAGAAAGGAAGCAAACTTCGGCAAGCCAAAGTTCATATACCCTTGCAGCTATTGCAAAAACTAAATATTCTTGAAAACTTTTAAAATATGATTAACTTGCGTATATGCTTAAAAACATTTATGATTTGCAGCTCAATTATTCGATAGATACTATGGCAGCTATATGATATCGTTTTCCGATTTTAATAAAATTAAAAGCGTTATTCTGAACTGTCAAATTATTAATAAGTCAAAAAAAAATTTTAAAAAAAATTACAATATAGTTACATTTAAACAACATTTTTTTTCTATTTTTATTGTTCCAATGGGAGCTTTATGTTATAGTCGTCCGATTTTGATGAAATTTAAACCGTAATTCTGAAAAATTTAACGATTACTATATGTCGTAGAAATAAAAAAAAATTAAAAAACAGCAAAGTTTTTTTTTTTTAATTTTCCGATAGTTCGTATGGCTCATATGCTATAGTCGTTCCGACTTATATACTAACTGCAATAGAAAGACAACTTTTGGGAAAGTTTCATGCAGATAGCTTTAAAACTGAGAGACTAGTATGTGTAGAAACGGACAGACGGGCATGGCTAGATCGACTCTCCTAGAGATGCTGATCAAGAATATATATACTTTATAGGGTCGGATACGTCTCCTTCTCTGCGTTGCAAACTTCTGACTGAAATTATAATACCCTCTGCAAGGGTATAAAAATCAGTCAAATGAATCTTTAAACGCGATTATTTCGAATTTAAAAAGTCATTTTTTCACCCCAAAAAATCTTTTTTTTAAACCTACGCCATTTTGTTAATATTCAAAATTTTTATAGATCGAAGGTTATTGTACAGGGTGGGCCCAAATAACTGTCGCACTTAATTTTTGAAATAAAAAACAAACCATGAGATATTTTAAGTAACAAATATTATTTATTTAATATATATTAATATAGCTTACATTACTAAGACTTAAGTTCTAATCTTTCCCCTTTGTATTTTCGGGCGAGCTTCAAACGTTTCTTAAAACTATTGCAAGCGGCACGCACCACATCATCAGGAATTTCATTCCAAATTTTTGTCAAGTGTCGCTTAAACTTTTCCAAATTCATCTTTTTTAAATCCTTTAGTCTATCCAGCATGTAACCCCATATGCAGAAGTCTAAAGGATTTAGATCTGGTGACGATGGAGGCCACTCATCAACAGCCATGAAACATGGAATGTTATCTTTGCACCAGTGCTGAACAGTTTTGGCCTTATGAGCCGGAGCAGAGTCTTGCTGGAAGCAAAATGGCTTATTCCCGAACAGCTTTGATGCATGGGGATAAAAATGGCCCACAAGCACTTCATCCAAATAATATTTGGCATTGATTTTCACGCCTTTATCGATAAAAAGAAGGGGTAACTTACCTTTTTCAGATATGGCCCCCCAAACCATGACAGACGTTGTGTTTTGGAATCTCTCAACAGCAATTTTTTCTGTTGAAATATCCTCCATACTTGCTGCATACACCCGATCATTCTGCGGGTTCAGGCTTTTTTGCAATATGAACAACTTTTCATCAGAAAACACAGTATTGCAACCTGCGTGCCGCCGAAGTAACTGCCCACTTCTTTCCTGTCGCATTTTTTTTTGACGTTCTGTCAGACCATGAATTCTTTTTTTTTTGTAAGGTTTCAGTCCCAAGTCATCTTTTATGATGTTTCTAATTGTTTTGCGGCTCACATTCAGCTCATTGGCTAGTTTTCGAGCTGACCTCGCACAATTTCGCCTAATTCTTTCACGCACATTCTTTATTATTTTAGGGGTTCTAACACTTCTTTTCCGACCAGTTTTTTTGGCTATATCAACACTTCCAGTTGCCTTCAATCGAGCCACAGTGCGCTGAACAAATCGCCTATTCACATTGAGATTTTTTAGCAACTTCACAATTTCACTTGTTTTTTTTCCTTGCAAATGCAAGTTTTGCACTAGCTCCCGTTTTGCTTCCATCGTCGCCAAAATTCTAACTTGCACTGATCTTATCAGCAATAAACCCCGTTAGTTACGAAATAAGATAAAGAAAGAAGAAATGAAAAAACAAAAAGAATAGAAGCACTTGTTTAAGAGTGCCGAAGCTTTGAAAAAGTGCGACAGTTATTTGGGCCCACGCTGTAGATAAAATATTTTTAGCTTTAATAATTTTTTTACCGGAATCATGCCAGCAGTTGGTGTACTTTTTTTTTAGCCTCGGCAGTCCATAGTCCCGTTACTTCTCAAAATATTTGTAAAAAAAAGGTCTTAAAAAAAGTTGAAAACTTACCTTTGTATGTGCAAAAATTTCAAAACATTCTATTTACTACTTTCTTTAAAAAAAAAATCTAATTATTAACTATTTTTTTTGGATTGCACTGGTATATCCACTTAAGCTGTCTGGATGAATCTTCCCCAACAGTCGTATTTGAATTGCATGTAGTATATAATTTTCACGGGAAAGAACAAACGCCATATAATTTCAAAAAAAAATAATTTTAAAATGTATACCCTTGTCATTTTCAAGCATATTAATATATTATTTTCAGAAAAAAATCGGGAAAAGAAATAAATTGACCTAGCTTTGATGTTGTTCAGCATATACGAATTATATTGATGATTTTTAAAATTTCATGTTTTACATGTTTTATTTTGTAAAAAACATTGCTTCAAAAAAAAAAAACGGATCAAGACACGCTTTCCTTTGATTTGGAGTCACAAAATCTTCGTGCTGATAGGAATATTTTTTACATAAAATTACATTACCAAAAAAAGTTAGTCTATCCATTACATTCATTTTCTGAGAAATTGATAAGAAATATAGATTTATTTAAAAAAATACAAATTCAAAACTACATGTTAACATGACTTTTCTTTTAAATGTAATGATTTTTACTATCCCATGTTTCTTATTGTAAATTATTTAAGTACTTAAGGAGATTTTATTACTTACCATTTCACAGACTTTTCCAGTGCATCAAGCGACCGGAAAGCACCCTTGTGTTCGAAGATCTGGGCCAAATGGACTTTGTGATGGCCTCACGGGAGGTAGGTTTGGACGAGGAACACTGTCTGCTGGTCATGGAGCGCTTGGCGGAATTCCACGCCACTTCGATGGTGCTGGCAGTGCTGGTGAGTTAATCGAAATTTAGAACATAATTGAGTCCAGCCAATTCTGAATGTTTAGGATCCGCACATCTTTGACGCCTATGCCGACGGCATGCTCTCGCCAAGGGGACTCGCAAAGGACGACGGCATGCTTATGCGCTTCTTCTCGGGCAATGGCAAGGAACTGCACAACCTGGTGAGCTCGTGGCCCGGGTTCGAGCGCATCGCAGAGAAGATTGAAAAATACCTGCAAAACCAGAGGTCTAATCTGGTACGCAGCCAAGCGCCTCAGGATAATGAGGTTAAGGTTCTCAACCACGGTGACCTGTGGGTAAACAACATGCTATTTAAGTACGACACAGCACATCGGCCGCAGGACCTTATCCTCATCGACTTCCAGCTTAGTGTGTGGGGCAGTCCGGGCATCGACCTCAACTATTTCTTCTATACCAGCCTCACCCTGGACGTACTGCGTCACCGGCGGCCCCAGCTGCTGCGATGCTACCACGCTAGGCTGGCTAAAACACTGCTCAATCTTGACTTGGGGGTTCCCGTGCCCAGCTACGAGCAGATCGAACAGGAGGTTCACCGCCGCGAGGCCTATGGCTTCTTTGCCAGCTACGGCATCTTTCCAACAGTCAGCCAGGACAAGGCCCAGACCGCCGATAACAATCTGGAGAACTTCAAGAACGAAGACTTCGCCAAGCATAAAGTACGTCAGATGTTCGAGTCTCGTCGGTTAACAGAGACACTGCGCTACTCGCTGCCGCACTTCGAACGCGCCGGCGTTTTGGATTGAGTTTCGTGTATTTTAAAAAATACGTGCATTATACAAAATTTATGCACAATTTTTTTTAATTTGGATGTTAAGAAATTTAAGGTGGTTTGCTAAAAAAATAAAATATATTTGTACTTCTATTGGCCCCAACTCTGCTTTTAAGCCAAAGACAAAAATCCGATGAAAAATTGCGAGCTTTCCGCAATATTCGACAGTTTTATACATACTTACAAATGAATTAATATAAAGAATTTTATTCCCAAAAAGAAGGTTCTCTTCACGGCATTTGAATTTCCAGCACACGCCTGCAAAAACAGTCAAACCCATATGTTGTGTAGTAATCAATAATATCTTCGAAGTGACTTGTGATCAGAAGACAATTCAGTTAGTTTGCAAAGGCCGGGACTTTCAATATCTATGATTAATTTATTGAAAAAATTTTGTATCCTTGTAGGAGTTTAAAAAGGGCAAGCGCACAATTATTCCAGCCAGCGGCAAAGCAGCATACAAAAAAATACAAATGAAGATTTAATATTATAGCTAGAAAGAAATTCAAGGCTTATCAAAATAAACTAATACAAAATGACCTAAAAAGTGCTGAGCTATTTAAATTTAAGTTCTCAAAAGGAAAAATAAAAAGTTTTCTGCAAACTGGATCCAAAAAGAGAGAAATACAGATAAGGGGAGGTTTTATCTATGGACAAACACAACGACGCCGCGTCAGCCTGGACAAATTTTGGAACAGGTTATTAGAGTCCCACATGCTTCTGCGAGGTTTTGAAGCTGATTCCGAGAGTTGCTAGCGGTGAAACGCTTTCGGACTATGGATTAGAAGCAACAGTATTGGGACAGGCACAATTTTATTTTACCTAGGTGAAGTAAATGGTAGTAACAAAAGTACCTAGGTAAGGTAAAAGGTGTGCAATTTTTGCCTTACCTTGGTAAAGGTAGCAGTTCTAATTTGCTTAAGTTGACCCCTAGTCCACAGCCCCGTGCCCATCTGCAGAGTGTTGACAGGGCTGTTTCCATTAGGTTGCAGAGTGTTTCAGGGTTTTTACCTTGAATTAGAATACGTCGTCCGCATATGCGACTATCTTAAAGCTCCCTCCTTCTATAAGTTGTAGTAGACGGTCTTGACGAGTGTTGTAGCGAGAGCCGATCCCATAGTAGAGGTCACCACTCTGCTGGTAAGCATTGAGTGTATGATTCTCACCCGGGTTGGTTCAACTTCAAGCCTAGTCAGTGCTCGGATGGTTGCTTCTAGGGTGATGTTGTTGAAAGCCCCTTCTATGTCTAGAAAGGCCGCCAAGGTGTATTTCTTATGTTGGAATCCTTTTTCAATCTTGGAGACCAGTGTATGGAGTGCAGTTTCAGACGTTTTACGGGTATACTATAATTCTTATATGGGTGTTATCAGCCTTTCCAGGGTTTTGAGTAGAAATGAAGATAGACTTATTGGTCTGAAGTCTTAAGGGGATGTGTGTGACGGTTTCCCAGCTTTTGGGATGAAGATGACTTTAATGTTGTGTCACCTTTAAGGTATATTTTGCAGAAGTTGGCAGTTATAGTAGTTAGCTGTTACCCATTGCATAATAATATGAAGGGTCTTTTGCAGTTGTGCTGGGGACTTAAAGGGCATGAAAGTGCTTGTAGCCCATTTAATGCGCTCTGCGCTTAATAAAAGGTTAAAGGGGAAGCGAGTGTCTAAAAGCAGCTCTAGAGTTTCTGTTCACTGATATGTAGGTTTTTTGAGATATCCTATGATGGTGGGAGATTTAGATAGGATCTTCCTAAGCCGAGCTGATTCGGTGGTAGACTCTTTACTACTAACGAATCAGGCCCATTCTTTCCGTTTCATATTTCATTTTGGTTTATGGGTGTATTTGACCTTTCTACTGGGGCGGGCTTTTTCAAAGTTTCGCCGCAGGTGTCTTTGAGGATGTCGACTATCTTCTCTAGTTCTTCCCGGGTGTTGGGAGTGAAAGGAGGGAGAGTCTTTAGGTTAGTGGTTAGTTTTCCTAAGATTGGTTATATTCGTAGGGTTTGGACATACTATGTCAATGGTGAACTCTAAGTAACGGTGATCCGAGAAGAAGTGGTCACCACAACACTCCAGTCCCCGATTTGTTCAATCAGGGTCTCGGACGATAGGGTGATATCCACACTCCCCTTGACGATTACATCTATTGCGCCTGCCTTAGCGTGGTGGAAGTTTATTTGCAGGAGCTGCAATCACGTGGAGGTTTGGTGGTTGGCTGTTTGGCGTCTATCTCCTCTGGGACGTCCGACAGTCTGCTCTGGGTGTCGGCTAGAGTGTGCAGACATTTGAGGTTCTATGCAGTGTGTGTTGAGTAGGAGCACGTCATTCATTGTGTTCTTCTCGCTCTTTTCAGTTTTTACCACTTTCCACCCATCAGAGGGTAACTTCGGCTTGAAGCGGGTAAAAATCTTGAGTACCTCCACAGGGTCGGAGGGCTCAGCAGGGATCCACGCCCTGGTCTTTGGGACGGAATGTCAGCTGCATTGCTGACGTCTAGGTTGGCTTCGGGATAGACGTCGCCAGTCATGGCGATCACAGCCTTATACAGGTCGCCGATCTTTCGTCCTTGCAGGCGATAAGAAACATTGGTTTCTTTTTCTGAGATATATTAATCATAAGTCTAATTTGTTTTTGTTTCTGAGATACTGAGATTTATTGATAAATTTACGTGTTTTTTAACATAAAAAGTGTTTCAAACATTTCGTTTCCCTCCCGTTTTCTTTTTGGTGTAAGAACTTGACCCTCACAGCTAATTTGCGTTCAACTGAAGCCAAACTCGGCAGTACAGAACTAAACTTTAAACAAGAAAGGAAGCAAACTTCGACAAGCCGAAGTTCATTACCCTTGCAGATATTTAATATTCTGATTTACTTGCGTGTTTGTTTAAAAGCATTGAAGCTATGATGATATGCAGCTCAATTATTTGAGTTCCTATGGCAGCTATATGATAACGTTTTTCGATTTTAATAAAATTAAAAGCGTAATTCTGAACTGTGATATAATAAAAAAATCAAAAAGAAATTCTAAAAAAAATTACAAAAGAAATAAGTTAAAATTTGTAAAAAAAAATTCAAATAGTTTTATTGTTCCCATGGCATATTTATGTTATAGTCGTCCGATTTTAATGAAATTCAAACCGTGATTCTGAAATATTTAATCATTACTATACATATGTCGAAGAACTAAAAAAATAAATTTAAAAACAGCATAGTTATCATTTTTTAAATTTATTTTTCCGATTGTTCCTATGGTAGCAATATGCTATAGTCGTCCGATCCGGTTCGTTCCGATTTATATATACCCGCAATAGAAAGACAACTTTTGGAAAAGTTTCATGCAGATAGCTTCAAAACTGAGCGACTTGATTTATGTAAGAACTGAAGTTGAAGTGTAAAACTCTTCGTTGGTCAAAACATTATTCTTTCGGAAGCCAAGTTAATAATAAATGAAAACAGCTTGTTTTTTTTTGTAAGCGCCAGCTTTAAGGACTGTTCCAATTTGTGTGTAAGCCCAATAAACGTAGGTAACAAATATCCCCAGTAACAACGATTCTCACCTGCAAATGTTCAATTGCTTTTGCAAAGATTTCGGTAACATAATTCATTTCCTGAAATAATTATATTTCTGTGGGTGTAAAGCAAGGCTTATTTAAAGTCATACACAACACACTGGTCCAGTTGATATATACAAGAGATTTTCATTTTTACCATTGAAAAATGTAGAGTTGATGTTGGAAAATGGTATTTTTCCATTTTATTCTCTTTGAAAGTTCTCTGAAGTCAAAAAAGAGAGAAACATACAAGATGGCTTTTTCTTAGCTTGTTTTTCGGGTATTTGACTTTAATGTGAGAAGACGTCGGTAGTGCGTTTTACAAGTGGAGTGCAAGAAAAGGTGAGTAGTGTTTTTAAACTTTACAAATAAGTGAAATGGTGGTGGATGATAAGTTGTGATTGTAGCTAATAAGTTAAACAAGTTACTGTTTTATTATTTAAAATTTCGTAATTCTTTTAAGTTGAGTGTGTGAGTGTCTATATTGGCCGGCAAAAATGTAACAGCCTGCATTATTTTTGCCGGCCGGCATAGACACTCACACACTATAAATATTTAAGGTTTCAAGTTTAAAATCGACTTTTAAATAATCATCAACACAAGAAAACAAGCCCTAATTCCATTTTACTTTAGTATCAGCAGAAACCGCAATACGATTCAGCCAAAACAAATTTTTAGTTATAAATAAATGTATATATATATTTTAAGTTATTTTTATATCCTTGCAGAGGGTATTATAATTTCAGTCAGAAGTTTGCAGCGCAGTGAAGGAGACATTTCCGACCATATTGAGTATATATATTCTTGATCAGCATCACTAGCACAGTCGATCTAGCCATGTCCGTCTGAACGTTTCTACGCAAACTGGTCTCTCAGTATTAAAGCTATCTGCATGAAACTTTCTTTCTATTGCAGGTGGTATATAAGTCGGAACTAGCCGGATCGGACGGCTATAGCATATAGCTCCCATCGGAAAAAAAAAATTATTACTTTGCTGTTTTTCTTTTTTTTAGTTCTTCGACATATAGTATTGATTAATTATTTCAGAATTACGGTTCAAATTTCATCAAAATCGGACGACTATATATATAGAAACATTAAAAACATATAAAAAACATTTTTTAACTTTTCTATTTTGTAATTTTTATTTTTTAATTCCTTTAGACTCATTAATATTTTGCCAGTTTAGAATTACGCTTTTAATTTTATTAAAATCGGAAAACTATATCATAGCTTTAATGCTTTTAAACACACACGCAAGTAAATCATAATTTTAATGTTTTCAAGAATTTTTAGTTTTTGCAATAGCTGCAAGGGTATATGAACTTCGACTTACCGAAGTTTGCTTCCTTCCTTGTAAGAACAGATGTACATAGTTTTAAAACAAATGTACATTCTAGCAAGTGTATATTTTAATAATTTTGTTAACGTTCACGCTTCTGATGCTACATTTATTTTCAATAAAATATTAAATATACAATAATAACAATTTGTTTTTCTTT